TCAGTTCAGATTCTGACTCAGAAGTTGTCATAAAAACACGGAGTATGGATGAGTTCAGCCTGGCCGATACACTGGTAAGATTAATAGATATTCAGTTGTTAAAAATGAATATTGTGTGAGTGTGTGTATATATATGTGCGTGTTTTTGTGACAAATGAGGACATCAATTTGTATAATGACAAAGGTATGACACAGGTATTACAAGGAGAAGGTGACTTATGCGGACATTACCCCATGTCCCCACTTTTCAAAACGCTTATAAATCACACAGAATGGAGTGTATTGAAAATCTGAAATAGCACAAAGTTTCCTGTGAGGGGTAGGTTTAGGGGTAGGGTTGGTGTAGGGCAATAGAATATACGGTCTGTACAGTAGAAAAACCATTACGCCTATGGAGAGTCCCCACTTTTCACAAAAACAAACCTGTGTGTGTGAGTGTGTAAATGTTTATTATAATTATTTCAGCCAATAACACCTCAGCATACAAGCACGCCACAAGAAAGCATTAACAACAAAAAGTCAAATGTTTTAATTTTTTCATTGTTTATGTTCAATATAAAAGCAGAAGAGAAGGGATATTATTTAATTTTAATCTAATACCTAAAGGGCTGTATAACAATTGATTACATCTGTTTATTGTTTCTATCTTAATACTTGTTGTTTATGTGCAGTTTAGTGATTTTATTGTAGACCCATCTGAAGGAAGTGTAGTAGAGGTTAGTAGTAACAGTTGTTTGATGCCTTGTATAATGTGACACTGTAGATGTTATATATACAATTATAGCTGTTGATGAAACCTGTTATATATATTTTGAAAGATCATGCTCTCAGACTCGGTGGATGACCATCCAGGTACTTCTGACCATGTTGCGTCACAGAACCGGTGTTACAGGTTTGTTTGGTTTGTTAAAGTGGGCGCAGGTTTTGAGCCCACGCCTGTCCCTATGTGGGCGCAGGTGTTGAGCCCACGCCTGTCCCTATGAAATAAACTTTGTCAACTGTGCCAACATTGTTTAGCAAAAGAAAAACGGCACATTAGTGTTTTCAGGTCTTAAAATAGAGAGAACCTGAAAACGGCAGTCAGAAGACAGAACTACAGTACGCCAAATGTACAGTCACTATAGACGCTTTATTACAAACACCATAGCATTAGCGTTAACTAGGTGGATATACTGAATGCAATTCAATGCTTTGAAAGCTTCTAGCAAATTCATAAGAGCGTGATGGGAATCAGTCAAAAAATTTAACAATTATACAATTGAATTGATTTAATGTTGTCTTTATGATTGCATGGTTTATTTTTGTTTTCATTATTATTTATTTGTTTATTTTTATAGATGGGTCCATACATGAAAACAGCTGTCTTTATATTTTAGAAGGGTCTGTTGCAGAAGATCATCATATTTGAGGGTCATGGACATCAAAAACCCTGATTGTGAACCAAAGTTTGGGATTCTCCATTGTCACATTACTTTGAATTAGTTGATAAGTATAGATAATAATCTATATATGTATTCTGTGCTATCAAGGTAAATTGTGATTGTGACTGTTTTCCTGAGCAATGGCTCCTTCTGCTGGTCATTCATGAGTTCATCAGAACAGTAAAATATACTCTCTCTCTAAACAAAGTGATATTTATATTTTTGGCCACATTCATCCACACTACAGACCTGGCTATAACACTAATAAACAATGATGCATTTAGTGAAGTGTTCAAGTACCAGATGATTAAATTAAAAACACTTTCCCTTTTGTGTTCTCAGTTAGAAACCCAGCACATTAACATTCAGAACTAACATGCTTCTATCAAATAACATCCATAACATTATTCTATCAAAATGTTTAACTTCATGATATATGGATATGGTGATATATTTTTTATTCGAAACTAACATATTTGTCAGAAAAAAATGTATCATTAATAACAAAAAACATGCATTACATCCAAATATACACAGACAAATAAATATATTAACCTACATATTATCTGCATTAAACTATTTACATGACAAACTACAACAAGTTAAACTGACTTCAACTGAAGAATTAACGGTTTATTATTGTCCTCTTTCTGTCGCTGCTTAATGACATAATTAAATGTTGTTTGCATCATGAAACATTTTCATATTTAACACCGTAAAGCTGCTTTGACACAATCGTACATTGTATAAAGCACTATATAAATAATGGTTTTAAAAAAGGTTAAAAAGACACATTTTTGATTAGATCTTGAGGTCAAAGGGCAGATGATTTTATGACACCAGCTGTGAATGGCTCTCAATGTGAATGTTAACATAATTCAGTGCAGACAATAATGTCAGTCAAAAACTAAAACGAACTAAATTCATCCCCACTGAAGTGAATTTAATTAAACTTTCTTCATCTGGACAGACTGTGCTGATCAGTGATATAGATATCAATACTGATTCACTGCAAGCATGAAGGCAGATGCATGAATGACTCTGCAGACATTAGTAATTTTGACTTCTGTATTATCTGTACATGTGCAGATTTGTTTTGTTGCTGATGTTTTAACCTCCCATTAGAAATATTATAATTTTTGTAACAGTAGACACCAATATAAATGTGTTCAAAAGAATCACTTTGTTGTTTTAATCACCTCTAAATCACTTTGGAAGAAAATTGTGCTAAATGCATAAAAGTAAATGTAAACATTAAATTAACGATTTTTGTGAGGGTTTTGATTAAAAACAGCATTGTACATCAGTTGTGTTGTAGTTATATATTAAACTCTTATTCTGACTGCATGCAGTAAGTCTACAGTAAAACATTCACATGCTGTAAGCTAATATTTCCATGGATTCAGATCTGGGAAAACCTTTACCAGGTGGAATCAAGCCTGGGAGAAAAAAAGTCAAACACAAAAAATAAATATCAACTGAAGGAGTTTAATGACATTTCAGCATCGGCATCATCATAAATATATTTACAATTATTTACTTTGTTAGTGTCTGAATAAAAACAGTGAAATCTCATTGATATTGTATTTCTGATGTTATCTATTTTATCAGTGAAGAAATTCATAAAGTCATTACTATTAAACTGTGAGGGAATATTTAGATCGGGTGGCGTCTGGTCAGAGCTTAATTTGTAAATTAAACATTGCCGGATCCAAATCGGGAGTTAAAAGGCGCCGTGACCGACACTGACAATACAACTTCAGTTTTCCCGGAACATTCAATGACGTCACTAAACGGTGATGACACAACTATAAGAACGTTTACAAGTTTCTGCATGGACCTAACTATCAGTGTCGGCGCTAGGGCGGGGCTTGACGGGGCTATAGCCCCATCAGAAACTTGCTTAGCCCCGGCACAGCCCCCCCAAGGATTTCCTAATAATGTTCCTGTTTTTTGGTGTCACTTTCATTAACATAGAAAAATAAACATAAAAAAAAAACATTGCCTAATATGTGGCCGTTAAACAATTGATATTACGGGGGAGGGGTCAAGCAACACAAGCAAGCAACGTGCAAACTGTGTGCAAGAGTTACGCCGGTGAACGTCAGTCAATTCACTATGGAGAAAGTGAAAGTAAAAAAACTGATGGAGCTTTCTAATGCTGCATTAACGGCACATATTCTCTGAGACAACTAGAGACGAAACTACTTCAACATATGCTGATAATGGCATATAACTGTCTTAAATTATTCCCTTAATATTTCTCTTGTGGCCCGTATAGTGAAAAACATGAGAAGAAACGTATCAGTTTTTTTGTATTGCTTTGGCGCAATTTTCACAAGCAATTGGTACATTTTCAAA